TTTTCCTGTCTCTCTGTCTCTATCTCTCTCTCTTCTCTTTATCTCTCTTCATTCATTTCTCTCTATCTCTATCTCTCTCTCTTTCTATGTCTGCCTGTTTATCTCTCTCTCATTTTTTCTCTGTGTCTCTCGCCTATCTCTCTTCTCTCTATCTCTCCCATCTGTTTTCTCTCTGTGTCTCTCTCGCTCATCTCTCTTATCTCTATCTCTCTCATTTCTTTTTTTTTTCTCTCTTATCTTTCTATATCTCTCTCATTTCTTTTTTTTTCTCTCTTATCTTTCTATCTCTCTCTATCTCTCTCGCTCATTTCTCTTCTCCTTCTGTCTCTCTCTTTTTCTGTGTCTCTCTCTCGCTCATCTCTTTTCGCTCTATTTCTCTCTTTTTTTGTCTATCTGTCGCTCATCTCTTGTTTCTCTCTCTTTTTCTATCTTTTCATCTCTCTCTTTCTTTCTCTCTCTATCTCTTTTTCTGTCTATCTCTCTCCCTGCCTCTCTCTCACTCATCACTCTTTTCTCTCTCTGTGTCTACTTGTCTATTTGTCTATTTCTCCCTCACTATGTTCGACTTGCTCACTCTCTTACTCCTATCTTCTCTATTTATCGAGCTCCTTCTCGATTTATCGATCCACTATAAGAAAATACACTTTTGGCAACCACTTTGTCTATCTCTCTCTCGCTCATCACTCTATCTCTGTGTCTCTCTCTCTCTCTATCTCTGTTCTTTATCTGTCTCTTACAAAATTAAAATATTTAAAAAATTGATTTGAATTATGTTTTGAACAAAGTTTTGAATTATCTGTCTTCTTATTTAAAATATTTAAAAATTTGATTTGAATTAAGTTTTGAACAAAGTTTTGAATTATCTGTCTTCTTTATTTATTGAGCTCCCTATCGATTTATCGATCCACTACAAGAAAATGCACTTTTAGTGACCACTTTGTCTCTTTCTCGCTCATCCCTCTGTCTCTTTATCTCTTTTCTCTATTCGTCTCTCACTCATCTTTCTCTCTCACTACCCATCTTCTCTACCACATTTACCACTACTACAAATTCCATTCAACTACCACCACTCTTCTCTTTCTCTCTTTCACTCATCACTCTTATTTCTCTGTCTGTTTGTCTATCTATCTGTTTGTCTGTTTGTCTGTGTGTCTTTCGTTCATCTTTCTTCTCTCTATCTCTCTCATTTGTCTTCTCTCAATGTCTCTCTCGCTCATCTCTCTTCTCTCTATCTCTATCTCTCTCATCTCTTTTCTCTCTCTGTCTCTCTCGATCATCTCTTTTCTATCTATCTCTCTATTTTTCTATTCTCTCTATCGTTCATCTCTTTTCGCTCTCTTTCTATATGTCTCTCTCATCTCTTGTTCATCTCTATTTTTCTATATGTCTCTCTCTATCAATTTCTCTCTCTGCCTCTCTATCTCTCTCTATATCTCTTTCTCTCTCTCATCTGGCATGTTCCTAGTCAACAAAATTTTGCTAAACAACCTAGTCAACCAAGCAACTCCCTTTTTACCCAAACACTTCCAAGCTTCAATAGAGATATCATCAGGTCCTAAAGCCTTATTTGATGTCATCTTCTTAAGTGCAATTTCTACTTCAAAGTTCCTAATCCTGCGATAGAATCTATAGTCTTGGTTTATCGTATTACTGATTATTTCTTCCCCTATTGTCGTACTTCCATGTTCCTCATTTAACAATTTCTCAAAATAATTCTTCCATATTTCCTTAATCTCATCATCCTTCACCAATACCTTAGAATCCTCACTCTTGACGCACTTTACTTGATTAAAATCTCTTGTTTTCCTCTCTCGTATCTTAGCAAGTTTGTATACACTCTTCTCTCCCTCCTTACTATCTAGTCTAGTGTATAGGTCATCATAAACTTTCAACTTAGTCTCTCTCACTACTTTCTTGACCTCCTTATTAGCCAATCTATAGCTCTTAAGGTTTTCCTCAGTTCTATCCTTCTGTCACTTTTTAAAGCACTTTTTTTTTGCCTTAACTACCGCTTGGACCTCTTCCCTCCACCACCAAGTTTCTCTAGAGCTGGGTCCTGTTCCTTTCGACTCTCCAAGCACTTCCTTTGAGATTCTCCTCATATAATTGGCCATCGAATTCCACATAGTGTTAGCATCACCTTCTAAGTCCCAAGTACCTTCCGTATCCATTCGATTCTTAAATATTTCTAATTTTTCCCCTTTTAAGTCCCACCATCTTGTCCTACGACGCCCACCATCCTTCCTAACTTGGTAATGCCCTCTAAAACATAAATCTAGTACCAAAATCCTATGTTGAGAGACCAGACTCTCACCAGGAATCACCTTACAATCATTGCATTTTAGGCAGTCCACTTTTCTCACTAAGAAATAATCTATTTGGCTCTTAACTAATCCACTCTTAAAGGTTATCAAATGCTCCTCCCTCTTCTTATACATAGTATTGGCCACCACCAGGTCAGAAGCCAACGTAAAATGTAAGATTCTCTCTCCAGCCTCATTTCTGTCACCAAAATCGTATCCACCATGCACCCTTTTATAACCTACTTTATCTATGCCCACATGGCCATTAAAATCTCCACCTATAACCAGGTTCTCTCCTACGGGTATCTCCTGTAAGATCTCATCCATTTGCTCCCAAAAATCCCTCTTAGTCTGATCATCTAACCCTACTTGAGGGGCGTAAGCGCTAATAATATTCACTATATTCCCTCCAATAACTAGTTTAATTAGCATAATCCTATCTCCTTTCCTAGTGACCGCCACCACACTTTCCACAAGACCCTTGGCAATTATGATTCCTGCCCCATTTCTGCATCTATCCTTACCACTATAATAAAGTTTAAAACCAGTATCCTCAATTTCCCTACCTTTCTCTCTCGTCCACTTAGTTTCTTATATGCAAGCTATACTAACTCTCCTCCTAATCATAACATCTACCAATTCCATCGTCCTACCAGTTAAGGTTCCTATGTTCCAAATGGCTATCCTAAACCTATAGTCTTGGACTAGCTTCTTTACCCGCACTCGTCCACAAAAACGCGAAAACCTTTGCCCATTTTTCACCGCACCCAGGCGTCGATGCGGCGCCCCTTGCTCACTTTTCGAAACACCTGGAGGCAGGCGCAACGCGTCACTTGAGGGGAACGACCTAGCATTTAACGATTCCTGCATATTACTCTGTTTTTTTATGTTCTTTGGTGATAGATTCTATTTAATTAGTTGGGTGTGCATGCTGACTTGTGCTGATTAAGTTTTAGCACTGCATTTCTTAAAAATAACAGAAAACAGGGATAGTTTATTCATTGGGTTGAAAATTTTTTGTTGGATCTAAAATTGGGTTTGGAAATAGGTAGATAAAATTGGGCTTGCATTATGGAACCGTTTTATGCACATGATTTCTGGACTACAAGCACATCAGTTTCAATGATTTGGCTATGTGCAAGAAACCAGAAAATTAAAATACTATAGTTAATCTAATGAATAAAGAGAAAGAAATACTCAATCTTGAGTTCCAAGTTAAATTGCAAATCCTAATTATGAAGATGGAATTGAAAAATAAATGTAGTTACGATTGTAATTGTTTTGTAATCGTAACTTTTCCTTTATCAGCCTTAAAAGGTTTCATCTGATATGCCATGGGAGTGATTTCTTAAGCTTTTGGGAAGTAGTATTCATACTAACAGCAATGAATTGAGTCTATTGTAATTCCCTTGGGATGCACGTCCTTCCTGGTTTGATTTTGGTTTTTTTGATTGATTTTTCTTGGCAGGAAAATACGGAGTCTTTGTCTGATAAGGAGAAGACCTTGTTATCCCTAGCAAAGATGGGGTATACGGTGGAAGAGGCGTCAATAGCTATGGATAGATGTGGTGCATATTTGATAATATGTTTGTTTTATGCTATTTTTGGTTTTGATATTGTTTGTTCCGGAGATCATTCAGGTTTTTGGATTTATATTCTGCCACATGTATCTTTCCATGTATGTTTTGTTCTGTCCATTATCTGTCAACATGTGAATAGTTGGTTGTGGTTTCTTTTTGTTTTGGTTGTTAAATTTTGTTGTCATAATCTGCATTCCATTTCCTCACGGGACTTGCTACTTACACTGCATATTTTTGTTGAAGCTGCTTTAAAGAATAATGTCTGAATTTCCTGGGTTCTCTTCTCTTTTTGTGTGCTTTGCTGAGAGAAAGAATTAGGTCTCCTTCCATTTGATTCCTAAAGCATATTCTGACCTTTTTTTATTTTTATTGTGAATGGGTTATTATTGTGAGACACTAGATAACTACATTATTTACTTGATATCTTTTCTCACTGCACTGGTCTTTGATGCTTTATGTTACTATAGTTTCTAGCCAAGAAGTACGGACACTTCTCGTGTTCATTTTGGACATGTGTCAGACATTGACACTCGTCGGACACTTCGTGAAGTGAGTTGAACATACATGCAAACATGTCTTATTATTTTTTAAATTCTTTTAGACTTGGACACGCTTTACATGCTTGGGAGACACACATGAAACGCATTACAAGCTTGAAGAAAATAACTTAGGATTCAATGATAAAAGAATGATAAAAGAATGTTCAAATATCTTTGAATGAAATATTCAAATATGTCATATGATAAAAATATATATATTGTGTCCCCCACATGTCCTATCATATCTTGTATTCTTTTGTCCATGTCGGTGCTTCTTTGGTTTCTAGTGTCTTGTAAATTGCACAAGCATGTTATTATAATGAATCAAAGAAGATTGCAATTGGTTTTTTTGGTACATAGCCACACCTTTCTTATACTCTGAAACCCTGTCAAACTTAAATTAATATACTGGACATCTTACATTTCCATCTTCCACTGAATTGTGATACTGATTGTCATGTATATACTCGTTTGGGTCCTGTTAACCAGTTATTTCTGCTGGATGATATTGCTAAACTTTGTCTATCCTCCTGTGTGTTGTAGTTGCTCATTTCATTAGATTTAATCTTTCTCTTAATAATGCCTGTAAAATATTGCAGGTCCAGATGCCTCAATTGATGAAATAACAGATTTTTTATGTGCTGCTCAAATGGCAAAGGCAGCAGATTATCTACTACCTGATGATGATAAGTTTTTTATTTTTTATTTTAATTTTTTGTATTTCTTCCCCATAATGAAACATCAGGTTTTCAATTAACCCCTTTTCATGATAGGGGAATAAATTTTTACGGCTTTTATAGTTTGTTTTTTAATTACTAATGCACCAGGATCCTTCTTTTTGCTTTTATTTTTTTTGTTAATTCTGTTCATACTGCCATTGGTAAATCCTCTGCGTAATTGATCTTTTCTCAAATTTCACAGCCGAAGCCAAAGAGGAAATTTTTTGAGAGAGAATTGTGGAAAAGGAAAAATAAATTTTACTTTTAAATACAAAATGAAGGAATTTAAAAAATATATATTTAATTATGTTATTACATTTGTTTTGACGAGTCTATTTGGTTTCAAAAGATTTAGTAACTTTTTATTTTCAGTTGCCCCCAATAAACTCAACTCATATATTATTTTATTTTCAGAATTTCAATAGTTGGGATTTCACACTTTGAAGAATGGCTCTGTCTCTCTGAATTTATATTGTGTTTAACTACATAGCATTTTATAGTATGAAGGAACCTGGTTGAGATGAAGCCTGCTAACCTTAATCCCAAAAGGAGCAGTCCAAAAGCCAAGAATTCCACTCGGGAGGTGTCTCTGTTTGGAGGTTTATGTGCTTCAATCTAAAACTTCACAGATATTTTGGTGGTTGTTGACATATTTATGAAGTCATATGAAAAGTTCTTTCTCCACGTCTTATATTTTGTTATTGCCCATTCCTACTTGGTATGATGCATTGCATTACTATATGCATTGATCACTTAAATATCTAAGACTATTAACTTATTGTATT